CGAATGCAGGAAGTGATGTATTTTACATCACTTCCTGCATTGTGTCACTCTCCCAGCTACAGAAGCTGATGTAGCCGATCTCTACTTCATCAGCTTCTCTGGGGGTCCCTAGGTGACATTAGGGGTCTTCGAGACCCCTGATGTCTCCATAAAGAGGACCTGTCATGTAAATTGGCTATCCCATAGGGGGCTTCTTAGCCACCCCATCTAATAGCAATAAAGTTGTGTAAAAAAAAAAAAAGTAATACAAAAATTAAAGAATCATTAAAAAAAAAAAAAGCCTACATTTTTTTTTTTTTAAATGTGCGAAGACGATTGCGCCTATTGTGCCGCACATGTTACATATCGCCGCAAACATCGGAGTGAGAGCAATAATTTTAGAGCCATTAAGGCCGGGTTCACAACTGGGCGTTTTACAGTCGCCAGCGCTGACTGGCGGAACGGACGGGGTGGGTACAGCTGGCTCTGCCTCTAGATAGGCAGAGCCAGCTGTCACTCACGCAGCTGGGCGGATCCAGACATAATTGTCGGGATCCGCTTCAGCTGCGGCGTCTCATTATACCGCGAGCTGTAGCTTGCGTTATACTGAGCTTAGGGTGACGGGAGGACGCTAGTTTGTGTCCTCCCGTTACCCTTAGGAGAACTATAGGGAAAAGCCCTAACCCCATAGTTCTCCTTTAATCACCGATAACACCAAACTGATGAACAGTAAAAGCGTTTTAATCGTCGCCTATGGGTGTTTTTTGCGATTATGGGTAAGAATAAATGTTTTATAACATAAATGTAGAGAAATTTTTTTTTATGGTACTTTTTTCATTATATAGTAAAAATTTTAACATAAATTGCAAGGCTATAGTCCGGTCATGCTGACTGGTGAAATTTTTGACTGACTGGTGAGACACCATCAAATTTTTCAAGCCCTGTCTATGGGACCGAAACCGCGCAACAACTGCCCAATAGCTCCTGCACCTTTTCGCGGGCCAGGCGATTTCAGTCACGCGACAAACCGCAAAAGGTGTGAGCAGCCTTCATTGACAATGCAAATCTGTGTTTTGCGCGATAAATCGCCTAGGTGTGCACTGGCCCTCAAAGTGCATAGCATACTACAGGATTTCTCTCTTGCCTAGGTGCAAACTTCTGATCGTGAGTTCAAACAAAACAAAACCTGCTGCTCTTAGTAGGGATGAAATGGCATTGTGAATCCCAAAAGTGATTGCCTTGAGTATGTCTAATGTGACCCTTCAGTTATCTTGGGCAATAGGTAAAAAACCGGCACACGCAATGGGATCCGCCCATCTTGTACTTAATTTGCAAAAACGCATACCACCAGCAAACAAACAATTGCTTACATGTTTCAGCCCCCAAACTGAGCCTTAGTCGTAACAGGGCCACGACTTGGGCTACGTCTAAGGCCCAGTTTGGGGGCTGAAACATGTAAGCAGTTGTTTGTTTTCTACCGTTATGCTTTTTTGTAAATAAAGAACTGGGTGGACGAATCCCCTTGCGAGTGCCGTTTTTTTTTAACCTATTGCTCAGTGAAGACTCTGGCAGAAGCTTTTCCAGGCACAGAGGTTCAAGCAGTGGGATTGGAGACAAGAGGGTAGAGCTGCCCCATGTTTCTAAACTGCTTCAGGTATCTTGGGTTTAGAGCATCTGTGGTGTAACCCTCCAGATGTGAAAGCCCAACAGGCATAAATATAACTCTTCATCTGTCTGTCTCTCTCTACCACTATATCACTACCTACCAATCTCTGTATCTCGATCGCTCAAAACTGAAATTGTGAAAACTGCCATAGGATGCCTTGATCTATTTCAGATCAAAAGCTGGCTGAATGTGTTAGAAAACTGCGGTCTTCCCAGCACAATTCCTGTTGCTTTTCTCACATTCATATATAAAAAGGTGAACCAAGTCTGGGAACTCTTCAAAATAGCGGTCAGTAAATCACTGGAACTAAGTGACAGTTACAATCCTCTGAACGGTCTTTAGAAACAACCAGGCAGACGATGGATGCAACTTGTTACATTTGTAGTCTGCAAATGCTCGTTAAAGCCGCCATGAGTATTGTAACTGTATTTGTTAAAGTGATTTGCAGCTCACTATCCCTTCTACAAAATTTGTATCACTGCACTGAAGGAGGATTATAATTTTTCGTCAATGCAATCCAAATCAGGAATTCCATCCATCACGATCACCCAATTTTTCCATTTTAGCCTGAAGTTACATAAAACTTTCCCTTGTCCCATCTTAAACTAAGCAAATCAGTAATTAGACAAAAACACTGATTTCTTCCTGGAGTTAACAGTATACAGTCATGTGAAAAAGTAAGTACACCACATGGAAAGTGTTGGCTAACATCTGAAAAGACAAACATTAGATTCAAACAGCGTCTACAGATAAAAGGTGATAAACATGGGGGGGGGGGGGAAAGATACATGGTGTATTCATTCTAAACTCTAAATGAACGTAAATACAGTTTTATCACACGGAAAAAGTAAATACAACCCCACGTTTAGCATCACTTCATGAAATTATAATCTGGTGTTGCCAGATTGGGTGCCAATGATTAGAAGCATTTACTGGAGCCTGTCTAAGTTAAACATTAGATATCCAGGGGTCTGGTGATCTCTTTGTGTGGTGTAGTCATTCCAAGACCAAAGGGCTCCCCAGGCTCTTAGAAATAAGGTTGTGGATGCATACGTGTCTGGCAAGAGATTTTAAAGTTTGCCAAATGGTTTGAAATTAACTGCACTGTTAAAAGAGAACTATGGCTCAACCTTTTTTTGGCCATAGTTGTCTTTAGAGTCACACGATTGACAGCTGGCTCTACCTCTCTAGAGGCAGAGTCCGCTGTGCCCACCCCCTCACGGTCCATCTCTTTAGTCAGCGCAAGAGAAACAGAGGGAGGGGGGATCCCTGCGGTGGTCATTTTAAGTAAGGGCAGGTTACTAGATCTCACTTTACTTCCTGGAATTCTGGCACATGTGACTAGGACATGTGACCATGCACATAATCTCAGGGGAGGAAAATGCCTTTCCTTAGGATCTCATGAGTTTACAGATGAGAATTCCCTGCAATGTTCTGCTGATGTAACCTTCCCAGGAAGCAACGCTTGAGCACAAGTACATCATTTGTGCCTAAGTGGACCAGGAAGTGGGGGGGGAAAAAAATCGCAAGTAAAATAAAATTGCGATTGTTTAGCTAATGAATGCAAGATGATTTCATATCAGCATGCAGAGCTGTATGCTGATGTGATTTTTAGTCAGTGGTAAAGGTTCACTTTAAGTATAGTGCTTTATAGTTCTTTTCTGTGGTATTCTATCAATCTGCACAGATCAGATAACAATAATACCTTCTTAAGGTGACGTATCCCATCAGCAACTGCCTAGCGAATGGTCTGACATATGTTTAGAGAAAGGGGACCTTATACTGGACATGACGATATGGAAAAGCAAAGCTCGTAAAAAGCTGCTTCAAAAATTACTTCAACTTTAGAGTAATCACTAGAAGCGTGTAGTCAGAGAAAATACAATCTAGTTTCCAATCAAAGCAGCGATTACACATAAATGTAAGGGAGCCAGGGAAAATAGGCTTCCAATGAGAATAAAAACATCATTTAGATTTTGATGCCAGCTGGCATTTGTCAGCACCCTGAATCCTGAGATCCAGCCATAATTAAAATGTCTGAAGGCAGAACTGATGCTCTTAGCAACCAGATTTTTTTAATGTACGAGACAGAAAGAAAACAAAAAAAAAATTGGACAATGCAATGGACAATGCAGTGTTTTTAGGCACTCTCGCATATAAGGTGCATGCTGGATGTAAAGTTCTTATTAGGCCTCTTTCACACACAGACTGTATGATTTTTATTACTAGAAGGATATGCCATCTGCATGTGAACTGCTGACAGTGAGGTCACACTGCATGATTATCCCTTAGGTTCCAGAGTTTATTTGGCCGCACTGGGTGCTTTTCATCCATTTTAAAATGTAAAAAAAAACCTCAAACATTACTATAATATAACTTTATATTAGTCAAATGCCCTTCAAGTGACTAGCTGTAAAGTGCAGAAGACATGGGAAGCAGAGCGACTTGGTAGTTAGAATTTCTGGCCCTAATATGTCTGTATGTGTATGCAATGGATGGGAGATAGGGATTGGCGTGAATTTACAGTATGTAAATTGCAGTTTAAATAAAATGGGGTCTCAAAATAACAGAACACACATTTCAGTGAGGGGTGCAGATCACTATTATTTACAATACACACAAGCTAATAGCTGAAAGTCTACACACTCCCCTACAACTCAAATGAAGGGTATTTCACAGACAACAGTATCTGCCATAAGGTGCTTACAATGCAGTATACAAAAGCATAAGACCTATGAAATCTTGCAACTGGATAATGCCAAATAAAGAGATTATTATAATAGGATTGCAGTCACATGGGTTGGGAGTTCAGAATGTGCACCATTTAAATGATAGAAGGTAGGTAATTAGGCTTCTGTAATTGAGATTATCGGCTCGCTAAATAGGTAAATAAAAATAAATAAATAAAAAAAACTTAAGGGGTGCATGGCACAACCCTATCATTTTTTTTTTATCTACCAAAACAACGTCTTCTAAAATAATATTCGAGCCCCTGCACACTATAGCGTTGTGCTAAGCAGACATTACGGTGTATTTAGCGCACTCTATCGCACAGTGCAAATAAATATGCCGTGCACTAGATGTATTGCCATTCATTTGGCATCTCAATGTATTACCAGGCAGACATGAGCCGCAGTGTAATATGCAGCACTGCAATATCAAGCCTTGCATTCTGAAAAAAAGTAGTACATGCTAGACTGATGGCTGTGGAAATAGACCGTCTAATAAAATAGATGTGAGCAGGGCAGAGGCATGGACAGAGGGACGCTTGCTATGCGTTTCTCAAAGACCAGTTCTCTTTGCGGGTATGCAAACACATTTTCATCAACAAAAGGGTTAGAGGGAAATGACTTACCTCCACATCAGAAACCTTCATTCGTGTTCCTTCTTTACCAACAAATATATCATCAATGTCCACTAAAACATATCGGTCAAGAGTGAGGCAGAGACGCTTGCCAGTTAAGTAAGCAATAGCATCAACAAAAATAAGTTTGTGTAGCCAAAAGTTAAGATTGTTGCCAAAAAGCACCCGTTGGATGCCATCATGAAGGCCCAAGTCTTGTACCACGGTGGCATGAAGTGCTTTGTGTGTAGCAAGGTGAGGAATGGATTCTGCAGACTTGGTGCTAGCCAGCAGTACAGGTTCATACGTGCTATGGTTAGACTGGAACACTGTCCAATCATCTCCAGGAAGAGGACCTTGCTCCACCTCATTAGCTCTGGTAACATACAGAAGTGGTGCATTGGGGTTAATGTGGTAGTCCCTCAATCCCAAATTGGAATGTAGGAAGAGTGGGAAACCTTTCAGTTGTGCACTTAACAAGCTGTTTTCATTAGCTTTGAAGAATCCAATGATGCCAACACCGTATTCCACACAATATTTGTCCAGAAGCTCCCTGTTCCAGGCATCTAAATTGACATATTTCAGGATATTCTCATAAATGATGAGAGCATAGCGGCCCCGATCTTTATCGGTCAAGGTTGGCATATCTCCTTTACCTGGAGCAATTTCTGTCCTGTACCTAAATCTGCCAGATTCCAAGATGGCAACAATCTCCTGCCCAAGCTGGGAGTATATGCTCTCAACAAATACAAGCACCACGGGTTCAGTACGGGAGGTGTCCATAGATTTGGCTGTACGCCAGCTAGCTTGGGGCTGAACCACAATCCTCTGCTGGTTGCTGCAGTCACTAAAGGGTAGAGGGGGAGGCTCCTTAATTTTAGGGCTGTTGGTGACATAGTAAGCCAAGAAGCACATGGATGCTAAGCTGAATGCAATCAACAGCAGGATCAAGCGGTGGAGTTCCAGCTGACGCATGTGCCGAACCAGTTTCCATAGATGAATCATGGTGAGGCCAAACACCCCACCTTCTTCCAGTATTCACCTAAATTGCTTCAGCACTGTCCTCTGGCTGCCCAATGCCAATATGTGGAGTCCCTCAGGAGAGCAGCAGCAACAGCACAGTAAAAGGCAGTAAAAGCAGGACGCGAACAGGTGAAATCGCCTCCAGCCTGCCATTTATGTCAGGTTACCATGGCCTCCAATTCCCATTGCTTCTCTCCTCTCCGATCCGGGCTCCTTAACAGATCTCCACCGCAGAATTACATCCCAATCGCTTCTCACATCTCTTTTCCTCTTGTGCTGCCAAGGAGCTGCTTCTGAAGAATAACTCCCTCCCCAAGTCTAATCCAGACGTTTAATCTTCACCGTTAGGCTGTATCCTAGAATTGGACAAAATAAAACATTGTCAAAAAAAGACTGCTTAACAAGAGCATAAGAACACTTCATCAACTGTTACATTACTCTATAATATGTGAATGGACAGACAGCAGAAGTTCACAGGAACTGTTCCATTACCCTTGTAGAGTAGCAGTAAAATTATCAATATTTGCCTATACCTGAGTAAATGCAACAAAGGAACAAGGTCCTTTCACCTTGTATGAATGACCTTTAAACACTAAAACATGTCGTTTTTCTCAGTAAGATCGATACACATGCATTAAAAAAAAAAAGCACAAAAAAAAAAAAAAAAAAAAAAAGTTTTTTTAGGGGACAGGAG